AGACAATCTGTTTCTCCCAGCTTCTCAAGAACAACAGCGGATGGTGTCAGAGATTTTTCTTTCTTGAAGCACACTGTTTGCTGCTTTACAGCTTTCTTGTACCCTTACAGTCCAGCCTCTTTAAAGCATTCGTTTAATTGTGTAAATCAAGAGGGTCCCGAGCCATCATTGACAGGGAAGATCCTGTTATATAAACAGTTTCAGTTTAGATTAATTACCTTTTTCAGTGACAAGGGATTATCTGGTTTGGAACATCTCAAGAAACTGATTAACAAGCAGGAAAAAAACATAAAGTGTTTAAGGAGTAACCAGACACCTAGGAGCCAGCTTGAAATTATTATGAATATACAAGATATACTGGAAGGGATACCACATTGTTTCTTCTCAAATGGCCTAGCTATGCTTGCACTGTGAAGTCAGCATCAGTGTTTTGTATTTTACCTGTTGTGAATAATCCTCATCTTAGCATGACTTTCAAATCTTACTGTAGTCTTTTAACATAAAGGGCTTACTTGGAGTGTACATTAACTTTGTGGGGAGGACTTGCACCAGTCGTCCCAGGAAAAGTATGACAGCATTTGTGCTCAGGGCTCCAATGGGCTGGATGGACCGTGATGAACCCTTCACCATTGTTCAAATGTTGCCCATACCCGCTCTGACTCAGTCTCTTGCCTCAGCATTCCCTAACCCAGCAACCACATTTTAGTCAATTAAGTTTAAATAGGCCTCCCATACTGGGACTGGGGAATGTACGGCCCGAGATGCCTATTCAACTTTTCTTCTGCTGAATTCTGGTTAGATGAGGTGTGTGTATGTGGGTGTGGGGGGGGGGTAGGAATAGAAAAAGACCTTTGTAAGTCCAGCAAGCTGGGTGCAAGGGCTCCCTCAGGAACACAGAGCTGACAGGTAACATAGGCCAGAAGAATCCCATGCAATGCTACAGGCTTGGGACTGACTGGCTAAGCAGCGGCTCTACAGAAAAGGACCTGGGGGTTGAAATTATGGAGCGACTGGCCATGCATAAAAGCATAAAACTCCTGACAAACCATCCACGTAACAAGAAGAGCCCATCTCGGGCCCCCCAAAAGGAACAGGCCACGAGGCTGTAGCTGCTTCAGTCTCTGAACCCAGCCAGCTCCACACCCCCTCCAACACGCAAGCCCCGCCCCCTCCCAGCGGCGCGGGGCGGAGCCAAGCACTCTGTGCCCCCACCGCCGCGAGGCCCAGAGTGGAGTCGCATCCCGCGCATGTGCGAGGGTCTGTGTGGGGGCGTGGCCGCGCCGGCGCCCGCGGGCCACCGTCGGCGGCGGGAGTGGCATGCGGAAGTGCTTCGCGGAAGTGCAGGCGGCAGAACATGGCGGGGGCTGACAACGGCTCCCGCTACCCGGCCGCGGCGGCGCCGCAAGACCCGCTATCGCGCTTCCTCTGCCCCGTGTGCCTGGAGGTCTACGAGAGCCCCGTGCGGGCGCCCTGCGGACACGTGTGAGCGGGGCGGGCGTTGATGCGAGCGGGGGGAGCGATCCACCGGGTTGGGGGCCTGGCAGCCCTGCGCGAGCCGGTCGCGCCTTCTCGTCTGGTGAAACCCGCTGCCCAAGGGTGTCCCCCTGGCCCTGGCCCTGGCCCATTTACCCCGCGGTAACCCCTCCCCCCCCGCAGGACCTGCCTAAGCGTGGCGGGCTGTGTCTGTGCAGGAAGGGGCGGGTTTTGTTGCCAGTTAAGTTTCGGGTTCCTGTCATGACCCGTCCAGAGAAAGCCCCTGTGTTTGCACGACAGCGTGCCCTGCCCTCTGCTGTCCTCGGGTTTTGTTGCTTACGTGGGATATTTCTGAAGCCCAAAACCTTCCAGTGGGAAACACATCAGCCTTAAATTGGCCAGAGCACCAAGGCACGGGGCCACACCTAACGTTTCTGATAACCGATTTGTTCTTGAAATGTAGCCCTTGATACAGGTTTGTCCCTTTTGAGCGTGACACGGGTAGGGTGAAGTTTTTTGGTGTGCATTGTCCCTTGTGACTTCCCTTTCGTTATAGGCCAAGTTTAAGGTATATCTGTGATGCTGTTGTTGGGAACGGTGCAGGTGTTTTCTACAGCATGCGTTTTTAGAAACCTTGTATTTCTTCCCTATTAGTTTTTGCGCTCCATGCCTGCAGGAATGTCTTAAGCCGAAAAAGCCAGTGTGCGGAGTCTGCCGTAGTACCCTGTCTCCTGGCAGCACAGCTCTGGATCTGGAAAAACAAATTGAAATGACAGAAACTGCTTGCAGTGGCTGCAATAAAAAAGTATGAAAGCATTTAAAAACTTCAGTACGCAATTCCCTATTTAGCTGCACCTGGAAAATAACATTTTTATTTCAGCCTTCTGGAGACTCAGCCATCAGGATTTTAATGTTGTTAAATAATGCAGAGAAATAATGCTTGGTAGCACACCAATGTCCTCTCCTCCTCCCCACTCCAACCTTGTCTTCTGTTTCTTCCTTTGGGAGGTGAATTTCAAATAAAGGGGAAAGTAATCAGCTAACAAACTGAAGTATGCAGCAAACGTGAAATGTAGAGCTATCATGGGAACTTGTGTGCACACGTTTCTGCAGGGAGAATGCTGTTTTATAAATGCAGCATTTGTCCCAGGAGAAATCAAGTGAAACCTGTCTGAAGAGTCTGTTGGACTGATTTTTGACAGAAGCACCTTTCTAATAGAGTTATTAGAAATTGTATTCAGCATATTAGGGGTAGTTTGCTATGGTGGTGCTGCCTGGTATCTAGTAAAAGTAATATCTTCTCCAGCTTCTGTTGTACAGAGAAGAGTCTAATGCTGTGGAAATATGTATTCTGTAGACATAAATGCTGTTAGCCTTTTCTTCTCCTTCCATGATACTATTAATACAGAGCCCAGACTTCATGTGTTGTAGCACAGAAATTATAGAGCACTGCTGTTATGATGGCAGTGCTGTAAAAATAACAAACACTGATTACCTCTTTATTACTCTGCTACGTGGCAAATTAACTTTTTGATAGTCAGCATAGCTTAATATCTAACATAGAGCTAGCTTCCACCAGGTAAAGCTAAAGCTAATTAGTTAAAAATCCTTAATGTGATAGTGTTTCTTCTAGATATACCTTATACAAATTGCTACCAACTAAAACTTTTTTTTTTTTTTAATTGTATGGCTTGCCTTTCATGCTGCATTTCCTGTAACTTGGGTCTAGCCAGTTTCACTTTTGTTTCTAGGCAGTTTTGTTTTCTGACTTCTGGGTACTAGAAAAAATGCAAGTGTTCAAATTTGTAAAAGGTTGATTTGTCATAAAAGAAAAAGAACTATAGCCTCCATATTTTACTGTCTGAATAAAATATAAAGCCTCCAGATTTACCACTGCTTTCTAGCAGAGTCTGCCACATTCATTTGTCAGAGTTCTGGAAAGCATCAGTATTCAAATACCTTCAATTCTTATTTAGTTATAGAACTCTTACTAGGTTTCTTTCTCAGTTTGACACTTGTTTTATCAGAATGACTAGAGAAACTGGTTGCTAAATTTAATAAAATCTTATTATACAGTCTTTGGAATTAATCAGAATAACATTAGCAGTAGAGGTACACTGATACATTGGCTCCCTTATGGCAGGGACTTCAGCTGTCTCCCCATCACACCCCTTCCTTCCTCCCTGCCTTCCCCCCCACCCCCAGCAGACTTACCAGCCAGATGCTGCTCTCCAAGTTGGCGGGCTGCATGTTGGCAATGGGATTAGCATTGGCTGATGTGGCTCGTTAATAATTGGCCATCAGTATCACCCGAAACGGTGCACCCCTGATTAATAGGATGTATCAATACTAACATTTTGTTCAGCAAAGAATCATTGTACCCTATGAGAGGAAGAAATGGTTACAGTGTAAGCTTGTGACATAAGCATTTTTCTAGCACACTTAATTTACATCTGGCTTAATACTCTGTTGTGTTTACTTTTATAGAATATATTGGCTAATGATTCAGTAGCTTGTCTCTATTTGAGCCCATAACAGGGAAGAATGGCTGGCAGATCTAGAACATTGGCTTGGTTTAGTACAAAGTAGAAATTAGTTTTTCCTTTTGATGTAGAGAAAAAAAAAGCAAGAATTATGATACTCGGGTGAACAGGGAGTCAGCTGTTCTAAGCAGTATATTGTACCATAACGTATCACAAGCAGCATGTTAACCTACTGAGTAGCCTCTGTTCAGAACGGACTGCCTCATGTGCCACAACATTCAGTTTTCCTTCTTTTAATGTTCTCCGAACAGAATGTTTCCTGATTCCTGTGATTTGCAGTTCCTCTTCTTAACTTTAATAACCTTCACATTCTGTCTCTTGTTTGCGTAGATGTACCTTTCAAAGTTACGCAGTCATGCAGCTGCTTGTTCGAAATACCAGAACTATATAATGGAAGGTGTGAAGGCTGTAACTAAAGAACCACCTTGTAACACCAGGTATTTCTGTTTCTAGTCGTTTACAGGGAGGTTGTTGGGTAAAGATTTTTGGTGGTGGAAGTTTTAGTTAATGCCAAAGCTTGCTTTCCTGATTTGTTTGTATACGTTTTGGTGCATTTGATGTGTTGCAGGCACTTTCTTGTGCAGTATGTGAGAGTACAAGCAAAGATGGTTAGATCTTCATTTAGTCTGGGAAGTAGTTCTTTAAATGCTGCATTACAATTAAACTAGGCTCTAATCCCAGAAATGATATCGCCTAGGCGCACTGCTCTACCAACTTAAATTGCCCATGCGCAAACTATTGCAAGATCAGGGTCCTGGGTAAAGCAATCTAAATTTTCTTTTAGTTTTAAACTTGTTATTCTGTCTCTGATTAATTACTGAAATGAAACGAGAAATGACTACATTGAACTGGTCATCCATATTGTAGACTATCTGGGAAACTTTCATATGCTTCATAAAAATGGTGCAGACCAGCAAAGCAAGCTGAACTTGATAGTTTTGTAAAGGAATAAATGTGTAATTGCCAGCTATATTAACTTTGCCCGTTGAGATGTCATTTCTTCACTGATGGAGAAAACAACTTCTTAAATTCAGCTTGCTCATATATCACACAATAAGGGGTGACCCTAAGTGCTCTGTATTTAAATATTCCCTCTCAAATTACCATGAGTAGCCAGTCTCTCATCAGGTATTAACTTTCTAAAATGTAAACACAATCTTTTTTTCTTTTCTTTTCCCCCAGGAATGTTCCAAATCGCTTTACCTTTCCTTGTCCTTACTGCAGTGAGAGAAACCTTGATCAGGAAGGACTAGTTGAACATTGCAAAAAGTACCACATCATGGATGCAAAACAAGTGGTAATGCTTACAATATCAGATTCAGTACAACACTGGTGTTGCAGAAATATGCCAGTAGCCTGATGTTAGTTTGAGCATTGGATCCCTCGGTGATTTCTGCTCAGGGACCTTAAACACTTAAGTGTATGCCTGATTTTAAGCTGCAGATATTCCTTTTGAGTTAAATAGGACTATCCTTGTGAATAAAGTTGTGTGTATACAAAAATGTTAATGTTTGGATATTACTTTTGTTCTGAAGATCTGGGAAAATTCAGACACACTTCTTGAGGAGTCTTTGGGGAGGTAGACAAGTTTTCAGAAAGATATCAAAGCATCTTTTAAGTGCCTATGCTTGCATTTAAAAAAAAAAAATGTGCACTAGACTAGCCATCTTAACCTCTTGAAGCTACAGGTAATGTTGGAATGAAATTTTGACATCCAAGCCTTTTATGTACCATTCCCTAAATCCTGAGCAAAAGTTTATAACACCATCTGATGTGTAAACTTTTTTTAATATTGTTACAAGCATTTACACAGATCTTTACCTGCAGATATGGCAGTAAGTAGAATAGAAACAGCAAAACTTGAATTTGGCTCTGACAATTATTAGCTCTTCTCTTATCCTGGGGTGTAGTTTTGAAAAACTTCTGAAGTTTTAATTTACAAAAATACAGTCTCTTTTTTTCTATGAAGATATCAGTATATGTTCTACAAGAGTGTTGGGGTGCAGATATTTTTATAATCTGTAGAAATGAAGGTTGAAGTATTCTAGAAAGCAAACTTAATTCAGTATTTTGCCCTCCACGAGATGTTGGAGGCTCAAACTACCAGTCTTACTTCAAAGTCACAAACTTCTGAATTAGGTTAATTCAGTGTCTGAGGAACCAGTTGGTTTATGTAGTGTTCTGTGGCTTGACAAAACACTCTCAATTCATTTTGCATACAAAGTGAAATTCTGGTTATATGACCTGTGTTCATAATCTTCACAATCATATAGAAGCATTTTTTCTATTTCTTTGGCACTTTCCTCTCTTAACATTTTTTAAATCAGTTACTTAGAGGCAAAGACCCTGGCCTTCAGGAGGGAAATATGCATTCTAAAAATTGCCATGAAATAAGAAAGGCCTCTAAAGAGGTCTCTAGTTCTGAGGGTGTCCTTCTCAGCCGAACATGAAGGGAATTCAACATTGGCTTTTATGGCTTTTTTGAAAGGTTTGCCCAATTTGTGCCTCAATGCCATGGGGAGATCCCAGCTACAGGAGTGCCAATTTCATGGATCATCTTCAGAGGCGGCATCGGTTTTCCTATGATACTTTTGTGGTATGTAATTCCTTATAAGACTCGTAGAATATAGCAAAATGATTGCTGTGTTTGTATTAAAATGTACTTTAGCCATTCATGTAGATACCATCCTAATAGGGGCAAAGTATCCCTTTCTGGAGATGGATAACATTCTGCTTGTTTTCTGTTGAAAGTCTGATGCTTCCTAAACTTGTTAAATGTTTGTAATGGGTAAACAGTGAAATCAAGTGAAGAGTCTAATGACTTCTGCCTTTTCTGTCCTTAGGATTATGATGCTGATGAAGATGATATGATGGCACAGGTTTTGCTACGGTCTTTGAGGGATAAATGAACTAAGTAGGAGAAAAACTGTAATACCAAGCTTCCATTAGGGGGAGTTCCCAGCATCCCTGACACTTCTCCCTACACAGTCCAAGATGAACTCAGGCATCCAAAAATAAATAAGGAAGATTTTTGAAGAGTCCCAGTCACCTGGCCTCAGCTCCTGATCTCGCTCTACATGTCATTGCTTAACACTAACAAGACAGGCTTTTTTGGCTGCTGCTCAGCTGTGTCAGGCTAGTACTCTTGCTCCTTTCATGCTAAGTTTAGCCAATTGTCTCCTCTGTATTTCTGTTGCCTCTTTTCATTTTCCCCACCCTTGCATCTGTCTGCTCGTTATGTCCATTCTTACTTGATGAGAACATATGTGGTACCAGAGGAACTGCTATTGAGAGGGAATGGCCTACACTGGCAAGTGAAGATTATTTGGAAAAAAAAAAAAAAATCTTATCTTTATGCTTCCTAAATGTTGATCAGATACCTTGGCATTTTTGGTCTATGGAAGCTGTTAGTCTGTTAGATGCAACTGTCAGAACTGGTTTGCATTTGAGACTGCCTGGAATGTCTGTGATTACACATTCTTTAGCAGCGTTTCTAATGCTGGAAGTTGGTCTTTTAACTAAACTTAGTACACTGCCTCAATGATGAATTTTTAAAACTTGTATTTTCACTGTAGTTCTGTTCATCTGCGTAAGAAACTTGTTCATAATACCTGGTTCAGTACCTGCATGTTACGTACCAGCTCAAATAATCATACTTTGGTTAAAACATTTCTAGTCTAGAAAGTAAAATTCTGCATCCAAAAATTCTTAGTTTAAAAATCCACATGATTTCCAATGTTGTCACATGTAATAATTATCTCATGTCCTGAACTGACAATTTAAGATCTTTCCTAGAACTTAAGCTACTAAGCATAACTTGCAAGCCTTCGCTTGATAGAGGGATTCAAAACTAAAACATCTAGGAATCCGATTAGTTTTTTAAACTAAAATGTGGTTATTAGCTTCCAATTCTTCTGTCCCTCAAGATCGTCTGATAGTAAAATGGATTAATGATCTTTAGCATTTCGTAAGCATTACTTGTGTTCTTACAAATTCTACAAAATATTTTGAACCCCTGAGCTTCATTTAAATTATTCAGCTATATTGTGAAATATTTAAGTGGATGATTCTGTATTTAGAATATAGTGTTCATATAATGTTTATTATATAGGTATTGTTTTTGAAAGGAACACCCGAAGAGTAGACAGGAAAGCAGAGACATAACTCAAAATGATATGCAAAGATAATGTACTTTCTACATGTATGAATACAATAGGCTGGTATTACCTTCTAGAAATCACTTTGGGTATTGAGGCTGAATATTTTTATTCACAAATTAACAGCAAGGAACTTCAGGTTCGTGAGGTCCTAGCTAAGGCTTCTGTATCCACTGGGCCTGCACACTAGTGTAGTGTAGCATACAGAGCTAGCTTGAGTTCTCAAAGCAAGCTGTTTTAGCCTGCCAAGAAGCTCTGTTATCTTCACACAGTGCTGGGCTCTGTAATTTGACCAGACCTTCAAATTGCTTTTTAGAACAGTAAAAAGTTCCAGCTCAAAGTGGCTTGTTTGAAGCTTGAGCTTGCCCAGACTGGCTGGGCAAACTAAGTATAAACCAGTTCATATTGGGCTTAGTTTTCTTTCTTTTTTTTTTTTTTTGTCTTTTTATGTGCTTTCACTCATTTGGTATGGACCAGTTTAGATCCATCAGAAGGTGCAATCTACTTGAGAATTGTGTGTCAAATCCTGAAAACTTTTTCATGCAATGCTCTGAACATGTACCATGTGGTTTTTGGCATTATGTTCTGCAGAGATTATGGTCTCGAAGTGTTTGGGTAGAAGCTGTGGAATTTGTGAATTTTGGCTAGAGCCCAAAGTCACCACCTGACTCTATTCCACATTTCTTCTAGTATTCTAAGTGCACTTCCATGTCATCTTGACAATGTTTCTGAGAGCTAAGCAATTAAATTGTCTTGTTCTGACTTTTTGAAGACAAGATATCAATAAATTTCATATAATTTATAAAACCTTCTCTTCATGGAAACTTTTGTGATTTATCATGCTTTGCAGTCCTTCCTGTTTTCTCCTTGCACATCTTTCCTGAAGGGAGGCTCTGGCTGGCTCCATCACGCATCACTAAGCCTAAGAGGCTACAGCTCAGTCAATGTTAAAGTATTTTTGTGTGCAGTCTTGTAGCATTAGAACCACTCAAGTATTAGAAGCAAGTGGCTCCAGTGCTAGTGTAGACCAGGCAGCTCACCTTTTGAGAGAAGCATAATTCAGACCTAGCCAGAATGAAATCTTAGGTAAACTGTAGTGGGGGTTGGCATCCACCACCACATCAAACAATGCTATACTGGGTCAAACCAACGCTCAGTAGCCCTTCTCTGACAGCTGCAGGAGTGGATGCTTCAGGAGAGCACTAAACTGGCTGTATCTGGAATGCTGTATCCCTGCTCATTACATTCCTTGGCATGTACCATCATCAGTTTAGAGAAGCTGGAGGAAACATCTCCAGCTGCTGTTTAAAACCACATAACTGGTGATGCTAAAATGATGGACCAAATGCTTAGGGCAGCCCCAGCCCAGCTGATCAGACTTGACTTTCCCACGGGCTCCTTTTGGATTCCCTATCTTTCAGAATTTGTGCCTTTTTTGGGCTGCCATGGACAATGTTCATACCCCTGCTGCACTGCCTTGTGTCTAGAAGTAGACGGACAGAAGCTTGAACTTTCCCTTTAAGATAAAAAGGGGGAGGGAGAAAAAGGAATAAAATTCTGATGTCTAATTGAGTTGAATTGTTTACACTTAACAGTAGCAATATAGATGGTGGCTCTGATTGGATCATCCCTCAGTTGAAAGGGGATTAAGTGGTTGAATAATTTATCAATGTATTGTTGAGGGTTTGGGTGTGGGTTGCAAATTTAGCGTAGGTGAGAAATAAATAAATTGGGAACCACAATGGTTGAGCTATCCTTATGGGGAAAAAAACTGAGCAGCATTCCTTCAGTTTGGCTTCTCAGCATGTAAAGAGGGCATGCAACTGTGTCTTTGCACCTGTTAACCTGACAACTGTAGGTTATACATTCCCTGGTGTGATATGTATTCATACAATTGTTCAAAGATAGTGACAAATTGAGCAATGGTATGAGAGAGTTTGCAAAACTCAAATTCCAGTTCTCTATAGATATTTTACTGTAGAAAAGTGTTTAACATGCCCTTGGCTGCTATTTTAGCAGATGAACAAAGAGAAAGTAGATTAAAAAAAAAAATTGTGATGTTTGTGTCTTATGACTGCTCATAAAAATATGCAAGCACTTATGTATGTACTTAAGTGTCAAGTGGGTTGATTTTCTGTGTAACCTTTGTTCATCTGGTGGTCTTGTGTTGAGAAACTTTGGATTAAAAATAGCCTCGTTGTTCAACCATCTTTAGTTTCATTACTAAATCAAGGCCAGTATCTGCAGCAGGGTTGAGTACTCTGCCAGGGCACCTTTCAGTCATTGTCAGTTGTTGACCTTGTGGTCAAATGCCCATTCTTGGTTTTAATCCAATCTGGCCTGCCCTGGAACTGTGAAATGCCAGGGCCTTGCACTGAAATGGGATTAAAAGGAGAGTTAGCATGAAGCAAGGGAACATAAAATTAAACTCTCCCCTCCCCTCCTCTCTTTTTGGGTCAAAGATCAACCTTACTAGGTTTAGTGATCCTTACCGTGCTCTACCTTAAAAAACAGTGATGAAAGGGGATGCTAGCTGTCCTCATCTAAATACAGTCAACTTTGCTCCTGGAATCAAAATAATGAATTTGATTGGTCACTTTTTAAAATAAAAAATACAACACCAAGAAAATGTGTCCTGATGTTTGACATGTGCAAGAGCTGTCCAGTGGCAAAAAGCAGCAAGGAACAGCATCACACTGGGGACAGTAGTGTTTGCATGCACACATGTGCGCGTGCTCTCACTCTCCTACATTTATCATTTTGTATTGCATGTTTCATACTCCAGGGAGGGAGTGATAAAGGGAACAGCTCCTGGAGGTAGTGGCTGCAAAGACATTTTTTACACTTCACCCCAACTGTTGCATTGCTGGGATTTTAACAATCTCCACCAAGGCACAAAAGGCCTGTAGAGCACACCTTCTTGTTTATATTAGAAGTGGTGAGAAACATAATCTATCATCTTCACCTTGCAGTTAATTTGGGAAATTTGGTACTACTACAGATAAAGGTACTACTTACACACTGGTGTACACAGTTCAGACTGTACCCTTCATGTTGGCAGATGGAGTTTATAGATACCTTGGTCATGTGTAGGTGGCAGGGAGCAAAATGTGGCTTTAGCTAGATAGTTGCAGCTAGTTGGAGGTAAAACACTTAGTTAACAGGCTGTAAAAGCTTCCTATTGACAGGGCTATCTACTTACAACAATTCCATTTGTTCCTATTTAATATGTTACAGTTAGGTTTTATAAATGAACAGTTCTGCTGGACAAAGTAATAGAATGGCTACCCTCTCCTCAACACTTAACACTGAGCACACTGCATGCCTACTTCTTTTTCACATTTTACTGTTGCAAAGATTTGTGCATGTGGAAAAAGGCCCCCTCTTTGCTGCAGTGCTTATGTTGTACAGAGCTGGTCATGTCTGGAGTCTGAGCCCCGTGAATCCAATTAACATGAATTGCAATTTCATGCTTAAATCCCCATGCTTTGAATGGAGGGTCCCTACATTCCTTCACAATGCCCTTTTTTGTTACATGGAAAAATCGTATTACAGGGGAACTAGAACGGTCTTTGACCGGCAGAGGGAGCACTTGCATTTTAGAGAGAATAGGTGTAGTAGAGCTGTTTGGCCTGTCTGTGTGCCACCTACACATCCTGACTCCTGGAACTCCTCACTGTCATCTCCCCTCGGCAGCCCTTGTTTAGACTGCGTTTCATAGAGCAGGGATGATTCTTGTGAAGGATAAGGGAAAGAGATCACCATTACAGGAAGGTTGCTTGGCTGGAACAGGTGTTGCTGGAAAATTGCACTGATGGCTTTGCCCTCCCCTCTACTGCGAGATTGTTTCCTGTACAGCAGAAAGTATAAAATACCCTCATATGGTCAAATGTAGGGAAGATAAAACAGGAAACCCCCAGTAAATCATGTTGCTTATCCCCTTGCTAGTGCAGGATTTTCCCCCGTGCTCTCTCAGTTATACGTTCAGAACTGGTGGAGAGGAGGCCCTAGCCCTGCAGAAGGAAGCTCTGTAAGTGTGCACCTTGTTACAATGCCCTGGAGACTGAGCTACGAGGGAATAACTAGGCAGCTGGAGGTGAACACAGCAGCAAAAGCATAACACGAGTGGATGTACCAGAAAGGTCCAGTGGGTAGTTGCAGCACACCAGTTTCTGTAGGCCATGGGCGTGCTGTGGTTAGCATCATACCCAGCCATATGGGTAACAAGGTCCTGGTTTGCAACTGGGTAACTGGGCCAGCCTTTGGCACAAGTCTTGGGCTCTAAAAAATGCCAAAACAGCTCTGCCATCACACCCCATGAGAGGACATTTACACCTGTGCACTGCTGAGTGCAGGCAATGGGTGCTGCCTGCCCAGCCTCCTTGCTCTTGGCTCCTCCACAGCTGTCCCATCCAAAAACGGTATGACTTCAGGAAAGTTAATCCAGCCACTTAGCCCCTCTCCTCTTTTTTGGAGGAGCCATTCCCGGGGCCCGATACCACCTCAAGTCAGTACCAGTTTTGCTGTTATTAAGGATCACCAGAACGGTTTTGCAACACAGGCGCTTGCTCGCCAGCTCTCTCACACTGGCACGAAGCAGCATCTCTCTGGGGCTTTGCACAGTGGGGAAAGACTGTTCTGACACCCAGAGCCCGGCGAAATCCCGAAGTGTCTTCCCTACCTTTGCATCCCTCCCCAAGAGACGGGATCGCTTGCCGTGCCCCAGGCGCGTTCAGTGCTGGGGCTTGCAGAAGCCGCTGGCTGATGGGCAGGACCAGCTGCTGCCCCCCTACCCCTTGGCTCTGCCTGGCTGGTGCCCCCCTTTCCCTGCCTTCCTGGCTCACCAAAGGACAGAGGCCGGTAGGAACCGAGGACGTCCGGCAGATTCGACCTGCAGGGGAGAAGGTAACTTGGGGGAAGGGAAGGGGCCTGAGCGGACCGCGGGGGAGGGCAGCTGGCACGTGCCCGCCCCGACATCTGCAGCCGCTTAATGAACCAGGCGACCTTCACAGGTCTGTTTCCAGGCGTTTCCCGGGGGCAGAGCGTGCCCGCTCGCACACAGCGCCCGGGGCCGGGGGCTCCCCCGCGCCGGCGTCCTGGCCCGCACCTGCCGGCGGAGGCGCAGGTGCGCGGG